TTTAACTGAGCTACGTGTGTAAAAACTAAAAACATACTTGAGAAAGAGATGAAATTATATATCAGGATATAACCTCGTTACAGATAATGACACGAAGCCCTGAGACTGACAAAAGCAAAACCTAAAATGTACTATTGTCTGAATCACGTGAAAAATATATAAATGATAAACAGAAAAACGGGACTTGAAATTGTGTCAGCAAAACAAGGAAATATTTCTCAAAAATTTAATTTTTTTTTTTACATTTTACTGTGCTGATTTCACAATTTTAACATTTTTCAAAAATTTAGACAAGGAAGAAGAAAATCTACAGTTTCATAATCATGTAAAAAGCTTTGTTTATTACGTATCTTCAAGGCAAGTCTGTGATTCGCCCTATTGCATGCACCCTTCTAAGTATCGCAAAGAAATAACTAGAAATCAGTAAAATACTTTGGTTATGAACTTATCTTCCAGTTAGCCTTATGGTGTTCTAAACGCAATGGTGTAAAAGGATGTCTATCTTAGTGTATTTTGGTGTAGATACAAGTACATGTTTACTTTGTTACTTTCTTTTCTTATAGCTTGGAAATAAATTAATTAAATAGTATGTTAATCAAACTAGTTTCAATTAAACACAAAACCTCAATGTTTATAAATAGATGATTTTTATGGATTTTTAAAAAAACTGAGCAGACTTAGATTTTGCGATGGAAAAAGGACTATCATCTTAGATTTTACATTGAAGAAAAAAACACAGTAAAAAAAGTATTAATGACATTAAATTAATATATATATATATATATCCTTGTCGTTTGTGTATCTTCGTTCCGTGGTGGGGTTTGGATTGAAAGATGCATGTAAATAATTCACATTTCTTTCAACAGAATTGTAAAATCCCAGAAAAATAATCACTTACGTTCACTTAAACAAGCTTTCTACATATCGGAAATTGATCTTTAATATATATTCAAGCAAAGTTTAACGTAACCTTTCTTTCAGTGTTCTTTTTCATGAACCGACAAAGTGAAAGCATCATCGATTTATAAGAAAATACGCCCCGAACAAGAACTTCGTCTTATAGGCGCCAAAACTAATGGTTATAAGGAATTTGATATTACGTTATTATATACACTGATAAGAAACATTTGTACAACAATTCCTCGTCCAACAAAAGGTTGGGGTGGGAACTCGATGCCGTCTGTAGGAGAAACAACGATAGGTGATGATATTGAAAGGATCAGGATGATAAGAAACAACATGTTTGGACACATAAGCTCGGCTTCTACCTCACAGTCAGAGTTCGATGACACATGGCAAATAATAACTGATGTCTGCCAAAGACTGCAAACGTACACAAAGAGAGACTATATGTCTGGCGTGATTAATATTCAAAGTCAGGCGTTAGAAGAGGAAAATGAAAAAGCCATAATTGAAAACCTTGAAGCTGATTACAAAAGTAATACAGATCTTATGAAAAAGATGTCTTCTTTGGAATCACATTTGTTAGGTATGAATTCAAAATCCGAATTTTAAGAGCTAAAGAATGTTTACTGTGTACTTATTAAGTTTGGAGAAACAGTGAATGTTAATTTTTCCGCAAATAAAATTACACTTCTTTCGCAGTTTTTAATCAGAATTAATTTTGCAGGTAAATGTTAATAGTAAATCTCTAAGGCAGCATTGTGTAGTTATTACCCAATATCGATTTTCAAAGCAAAGTATACAAAACGTCCAAGAGGTTTTTTTTGGTCAAATTATAATGTGTGATGAGTATTATTATACTGTACAATATATGTAGGAAACACAGAATTCTTCAACTGGTTTCCAGAGAGGGCATCTCAAAATGTCAAATTTAGAAAATTTAGAAAATTTTTTATGAAGTACTACAAAGATTGACAGATACAAAGGATTTATACCAAAACTAAGAAAGATAATTGTGTGATTCAAAACTGTCTGTGTCAAATTTGAGGACCTAATACTAGATAATGTTGCTTTTATAACAAATGAAAAAAATACATGAGGTATCCTGCCGTTACAAAAATACTTTTGCATCGTCAATCTATCTATCGTTTGAAAAAAATGCTTTACAAATCAGTAATGTACATATAGAATTATAACCTGTCATTTCTGAATTGTATTAAATTTTATTTTTTTTTTGTTTTGAAAAGATACTCTAAATTCGCTTTATTTTACTAAATTGCACAAAGCATTGCCCAATGAAAAACTTCATTGACCCCCTTAAAGGGGCACGGACAAAGTTTCAGCTAAAATCTTAAAAATTATTTTTTAATTTTTACAAATATTTAATTAGTGTCTTTCTAATGATTATGAAAAATTTGAACGCCAGTTGTCCAGATACAAGACAGATTTAGAGCTGCTAACCTTTTTTATGTAAACAAGGCTAGTGCAATGTTTTTGTTTATACAGGTTAATATACTAATATATCATCGTTCAAAGTAGATAAAAGTAAGTAGAAGTAAATTTTAAATACAACGCAGTACAGTTAAGGTGCGCAATTGAAATATCGACTGAATTTTGTATTTAAAAATGTATTCGTAATCGGGATGCTGATTATTTTTAGTACATTATTTATATCGGATAATTATGAATATGATTAATAAGTACATATCAAGGACGATTATATTTTATATTTAGACTAGTCACGTGATGCGGCAGTCACGCGATTTTAGTACATTGACTTGAAGTATTGATGTTGCAAATAAATATCACTAGTGCAAGGGCATAACCAAGTTAAATTTCCAAGTTTAGTATATGGATATTTTCAACACGCATTGTAGTTTCTAAAAAGTGCTGCGATTCCGTCTAAATTCTGCAATTTCATTGTTAAAATAATACTTGTATGGCCGAATGCTATATTTTTTGCTGGTCAGCGGCATGAAATATTGATATAATTAAATTGTTTTTAAGATTTCATCAGGATCGCAGCACTTTTCAGATACCTTATTACTTCTATAGTTGAAATGTAAATGCTTACTTTGATCCATAGAGTGTATGCCCTTGCACTAGATCGATTTATTAAGACCCTCCACATTAACTTCCGATGTACTTGCACACAAATATACGACAGTGTCTATTAAATACATAATGTACAGAAAATCTATAAATAAAATAGTGAAGAAGACATAAAATTCAAGTTATTGGCCCATAGAATATCTGTAAATAATATTTTATTTAATTAGAAAATGCATATTTTGGTGATATAATATTACTTGATCTGTCTCTCAATGCATACAAAATACGTCATGTTGTAAGAAATGACGTCATATTGACAAGTGTATTGCGATCAGTGACTTGTCTATAACTTGTTATGTGGGATTTAACTAACGACAAAACAACACGCTGTAGTAAGTTTTTATGTAGTTTGATAATTTCTTACTGGTTAAATTAGCAGATAAACTCATTTTGTGATATTTTAAAGAAATGTTGTATGTTGTATACTGTGTATGATGTCATAGTCAAGTTTTCCCGTACAAATTAGGCTCCGCCTCCTTTTTGTAACCTTAACTGTGCTGCGAATTCGGCAGTTACTTTTGATTTCCTGAAATTCATTTTGTATAAATATGTTATTTTCTATATACAAACAAAATCAAGGCAAAAGCCTTGTTTACATTATGAAGAACTTTAAGTTCAGTATCTTGTGTGTTAATCAACAAATAAAGTGCAAATGTTTGCTAATCAATAGACGATAGGTAAGAATTGTAAACATTAAAATCAGTTGAAACTGTTTACAGGCCCCTTTAAAAAAGAAATTCAGACTGACTACGTAGCGGCTAAGAGTCATGACTAAAAGCTCTTCTATACACCATCATCTGGCATATACTTTTTTCATTAATGTCAAAGACATTGGATTCATTTTAGGAATACCAGTAGTAGATGAGATTCTTAATGACTGGCGAAAAGAGAACACGACTTTTGTTCCTACAAAAGCAAGTAGGATAGTCGAAGAAAAGCTTAAAAGTCATAACCTGGTCATAGTGGTCGGAAATTCTGGATCTGGCAAATCGGTGATTATTCAGCATATTGCACTCAAGCATAAAGATCAGGGCAGTAATGTTATACCAGTGGATGAAGTTAGAGAAATAAAAGAGAAATTTTCGTATTCGACCGAAAATGATACCATTTTTGTACTGAATGATCCTTTAGGTAAAGAATCTTTGGATGAAATTTTGTATACTTTATGGAAAAATTATCAAAAAACGATAGAGATTTGCTTGAAGAAAGTCAAACTACTGGTGTCCTGTAGAAGATGTGTTCTTTATGACAAGAGAGTGAAGGGTATTTTATTTGAGGAATCCACCATAGTAGAAATTGACAACGAAGAAAATCGACTAACAAATGGAGAGAAAAGAGCCATCCTTAATCAATACACACAGAATATAAACCTTTCTGAAGAAATTGTTTTTGAAATAATGAAATCAGAAGCATACTTCCCACTGCTTTGTAAGCTTTTTTTTTTAGGCCAAATGACAAGGAAAACGGGCTTGACTTCTTCAAATCTCCGAAGAGGTTTATTAAACAAGAAATTGATATGTTCAAGAGAGTAGACAAGAAGAAATTCTGCACTCTTATTTTAGTTGTAGCATTTAAAAACAATCTGAAAATAGAAACAATTGTAAGGAATGATGATTATAAAAAGAAATATAAAGACATTTTAGGAATGTGTGAATTACCAGAAAACACACCAATCTCGGCCTTCCGCAGTACTCTCCAGGAGCTTAAAGGATCCTTTGTAAAATGTGTCGGAAATTCTTTACAATTTCTTCACGACTTTATCATGGAGATAACGACTCTGGTGTTTGGTGTTGATTGTCCACAAGAGACAATACAGTACGCAGACAGTGGTTTTCTGAGACGTCGAGTGCAGATAGAAGACGATACAGAAGAGGAAGATCGCCATCCTTTCACTGTTTACCTTCCTGAAGAGTACATTGATGATCTTGTGGACAGGTTTATCATTGACATGCAAACAGAACACCTTGTAGATGTCTTACTCAATCCATGTTTGAGAAATAAAAGTGTGATAAGAGACTTTGAAGACAAAATTGAATTATTAAAAAATCTATCAAACATTCTCTCAGGTATTAACCGGGTTTTAATAGATAAATCAGAGTTTGGAAAACCGTTTAGTGATTTCAGCATATCAAGACTTACTTTTCTTGACTGGAGAGGTAAATTATGTCCTTTAGTTGGATTTATAGTACTTTGTCATGATGAAATTTCTCTGTCTTTTATAAGATGCATAGACAAAAATGCATTGCAGGATCTTTTAGTTTTTTCTGCCGTGTGTGCTAATGGAACATTACCATTGTTTCATAGTCTGAGCCTAGAATACAAAGAAATGGCTATAGAAGAACTTTGGGGTTTATTTTATCCAATCCATATTGCTTCAGTCTTCCATAACTATGAGATTATTCCAGAGTTAATAAGACTCGGTGCTGACGTCAACATGCTGAGCGCTGGTGATGTTTGGACTCCATTAATTTTGGCAGCAGGGAATGATGAAGAACATTTAAGAGAAGCTGGAAAGAAAACAAAAGAAGGAGAAAGACGTAATAAAACTATTTCCTTTTTATTGAACTATGGCGCCAAAATCAACTTATGTGGCGACGATGGAAAACCTCCTCTGTGGATTACTTGTCAAAAGGGATATGCAAGCACAGTACAAATGTTACTGAACAACGGCGCCGACATAAATCTATGTGATATCCACAGAGTCAGTCCTCTTTATAAAGCTTGTCAAAATGGACATGATAACACGGTTCAACTGTTACTGAACAGCGGTGCCAACATCAATTTATGTGATAATAACGGAGCAAGTCCTCTTTATATAGCTTGTTATAATGGACATGATAACACGGTACAACTATTATTGAACAATGGAGCCGACATCATTTTAAGTGATAATGATGGATTCAGTCCTCTTTGTATAGCTTGTTATAATGGACATGATAGCACAATACAACTGTTAATAAACAACGGTGCCGACATCAATTTATGTAACAAGTATGGAGCCAGTCCTCTTCATATAGCTTGTCAAAATGGAATTGATAGTACGGTACAACTGTTACTGAACAACGGTGCCGAAATCAATTTATGTGATGAGAATGGAGACAGTCCTCTTTATACAGTGCAGGGAACTAATTTTGTGACATAAACCAGCATCAGGATCAGCATAAGTAGGATCAGGATAGAACTAGCATCAGCATCAGCATTTAAAAAATCAGCATTACTTGGATCAGCATCAGCAAGCAAAGGATAGAACTAGCATTGACCAAAGTGAAAACAGATAAAGGAAAGTCATTTAATACAAATTACAAATAAAAATTACCCCAAAAATTATTTTTAATGGCTTAAAATAGCTATGCTGTTTTTGAATTATCCACTTCCGGCAGGATAATCCTACGTCCGGTAGCATTACTAGCATTGACCTAGTTTCAAACCAGCATCAGGATAAGGATCAAACCAGGATCAGGATAAGGATAACTAGCATCAAAATCAGCAAGCAAGGGAAGCATCAAAATAAGCAAGCATAGGAAGCACCAAAATCAGCATTGATGCTGTAACAAAATTATTTCCCTGCACTGTATGGCTTGTCAATATGGACATGAGAGCACGGTTCAACTCCTTCTAAACAACGGTGCACAAATCAATTTGTGTGATAATGATAGATTCAGTACTCTTTTTATAGCTTGTCATAATGGACATGATAGCACGGTACAAATCTTACTGAACAACGGTGCCGACATCAATTTTTGTGATAATGATGGATTCAGTACTCTTTATATAGCTTGTCAAAATGGACTTGATAGCATGGTACAACTGTTGCTGAACAATGGTGCTGACGTCAATTTATGTAACAAGAATGGAGCCAGTCCTCTTTATATAGCTTGTCAAAATGGACATGAGAGCACGGTAGAATTATTACTAAACAACGGTGCTGACTTCAATTTATGTTATGGTGATGGATTCAGTCCCCTTTATGTCGCTTGTCATAATGGACATGAGAGCACGGTACAACTGTTACTAAACAACGGTGCTGACATCAATTTGTGTGATAATGAAGGAGCCAGTCCTCTTTATATAGCTTGTTTTAAGGGACATGATAGAACTGTACAACTGTTACTGAACAATGGTGCCGACATCAATTTACGTAATTAGAATGGAGCCAGTCCTCTTTTTATAGCTTGTCAAAATGGACATGATAGCACGGTACAATTGCTACTGAAAAACGGTACCGATATCAATTTATGTTATGGTGATGGATTCAGTCCAAAAGACTTGATAACACGGCATAATTGTTACTGAACAACAGTACTGACATCAATTTAGGTGAAAAGAATGGAGCCAGTTCTCTTTAAATAGCTTATCAAAATGGACATGATAGCACGACACAACTGTTATTGAACAACGGTGCTGACATTCATTTATGTGATAAAGATGGAAATAGTTCTCTTTGGAGAGCATGTGAAAACTCACTTTGCAGCACCATCGAACCTCTATTAAGTGCAGGTGCTGATGTAAATTGATGCAATAAAGGTCACTGCAGTCCGTTGTATATAGCATGTCTCAAGGGTGATCCCAGCATGGTTAATCTTTTATTGAACAACGGGGCAGACATCAATTTATGTGACAAGGAGGGAACCAGTCCACTCTACATAGCCTGTGAAAATGGACATTACAGCACAGTCCAAGTATTATTAAAAAATGATGCTTGCGTTAATTTATGCAATAAAGACAATAAGAGTCCAATGTACATAACATACCTTTATGGTCATGACAGTATCGCTGAACTTTTACTACATTTTGGTGCTGAGTTTTTATTCTGAAGATTGATGGTTTCTCAAGACCAAGTGCGTTCACATTATTTCTGAGATATGGAGCAAAAATAAATTAAAGGTTTGATTAGAGCTTGGAAAAAATAAGTGGGACACTATCATATAGAATGTAAAGCATTTATTTAAAACAATTACATAGGAGGAAGAAAACACTAGCTGTATCTTTCATTTCAACATTCAGATAAATCGACGACGTATTATCAATTACAAGTATCAATATTTATTTTCATTTAAATGCCGATTTGATATTCCTAGTGAATTTGAAATAGAAGACGCCACAACATCTGTTACTTCTGTTTCATATTTGAATGTTCGGAAAATTATATTATAGTAATTAATTGCATTGTTAGCAAATATAACCTTTCATGAATGGGTTTAACAGACATGTTTATACCAAGTGATAGGCTGTTTTATACTTAATTTTACAAAGGAACGCTGCCTCTGTCCATCGACAAAAAACATGTCGAATATGACCGATCAAAGGGGATGTTTTCTCATTTTGGACACCTGAGTCTACTCCTGGAGTGCTTGGGATTCGTTTTTATGTTTGGTTTACAAATATTTAGTGCTTTTAAAAAATTGTGTATATTGATTTTTTTTCTTTAAATTTTAGTGATTACTGCAGTACTGTTAATCGCCAAATTTTATGTGACAGCTGATTTTTTTAGATGGGTACTTCGTATGTAAAAGCGAGATAGAGATATTGTACTTAAAAGAAAGTTTGTATTATTGTTCATATTTAATAATATCTTTATACAGAAGAATATTCTTTTTTTTTTGTAAGAAAACACAAACAATGTTCTTTTGAAGAAAAGTATACGTATTTACAGTAATTTATTTAGCTAACTTACATTTTAATGTCATATGGCTTTCTTTATTTTATTGAACTACGACTATTTAAAGGTGTAAGTTATAAAAAAAAAATTCAGTCTAATGAAACGTCTTGTTTCAAGAGAGCAAAGGCTTGCGGCTACATAAAGCTTTTTGTTCTTGTAAGCATCAAGGGAGCAGTCGTTATTTGATATAAAGCTAAAACATTGCACTGTATTTCTGTAATATTTAAATTTATTCTGTGATGCGGATATTGATTATTTATTTGTGTGTAAATAAGAGCTTTATTTATCTTAACCCTATACAGGCGAAACATTAGTACGAACTTTTATGTATACAACATACAGTTATATTATGTTGATTAATCAAAATTCGTTTGGAACAATATGTTTTAATTGTATAAAGATTATATGTATTTCAGTAATATGAAGGAATGTTAAGGAATTAAGCTTATTTCAACTTATCTTATCCGATAAAACATAACTTGGGGCAGTTTACGCTTTATAAACCGCGAAGAAAGCGTAAACTGCCCAAGTTTTGTTATATCGGATAACATAAGTTGAAATAAGATTCATTCTTTATAATTTAATTTCAGGGTAGACAATAAGACAATATTTCTTCCGGAAAAAGGTTTAAAGAAGAAGGTATGGTTTGTATACAAATTTTGCCCTGTGATTTTCTAAAAAATGAAACTGGTGTAAAAGTTGAAAAACTCATGCTTTTTAGATAATTGAAATTCAATGCAGAAAAGTCATACAAGTAATTTTTCTCACACGTTTTTTTAAATGCTAATTATGACGTCATAAACATGTGGATTTTCCCGTATTTTCTTAAAAAGTTGCAGAAGACACCAATTTTCATTGGAATTTTCTTTCAGATAACATTGTCCACAGGCATCGCCCACAAAGATCTTGAGATATGTGATTTGTTATTGAATTTTGTACAAAATATCCAAAAATTAACGTGGGCGACGGCTGTGGACACTGTTTTCTAAAGGAAAATCACCCTTGAAATGTGCTATTTTGAGGCTATTTCTGTTGAAAATAGAGAAATGCTTCACATTAATGACGTCATATTTGCAGAATGGATGCCATTTTCTTTCCTGATTCAGAGTACCTTCATGCCAGAGTCATTTATTTAACTAATATTTAAGCCAGTTTCAAAACTTTTTGATGTCATTAAATTTTTAGGGCGCAATAAAGCTAAAACCATACCTTCTTCTTGAGCGTTATTTTAAAATTAATGTCATGCGGAGTAATACGTTTTTGACGTAACTCATTGTGACGTAGGCAAGTTATGTAATACAAATTGGATAAAACCATTTAACCAATCAAATGACGTGTTACAACTAAAATTAAATTATTTAAATTTATTCTGTGAGGCGAGAAATGATTATTTATTCAGGTGTAATTAAATGCTTTATTTAAATAAATCTTAACTATATACAGGCGACACATGTTTTCGAACTGTTATGTTTACAACATAAGTTATATTCTGTTGATTTATCGAAATTCGTTTGAACCAATATTTTTTTAATTGTATAAAGATTATATGTTCGGGGGAGGTGGGAGGAGGGGTTTTATATCATACATTCCTTAATATGTACAGATCTTTACGGCATGTGTCTTTTAAAACCCTGTCTATCAAATCGTTGATGTAGGTCTGCAAAATTCAACGAAATAAAAAAATCACGTCACAGAGACATTTCTTTTTTCTTTAAATACTGTAGATCACTTAATTTTCGCGACACCTTATTTTCGCGAGATTATAATTGACTCTTGATTAGCGAGACAAAATTTTCACGAATTGTGGTTATTGCTCTATATAATCTTTAGGGATATTATTATACGCGAGAATTAAATTTTCGCGAGCACACTATCTCGCGTAATTACGCGAAAATAAAGTTCTCGCGAATAAAAAGTTATTTACAGTACATGTTTTACATTTGTCGATATTTCATTGATTTTTTTTTTCTTTTTTTGAAATTGAAAATGTGTGTACATGTATTTATTTTGTATTCATTTTGTTTGTTTGATTTCTTTTATAGTGCTTTGTTTTATATGGTACATTAATTATTATTTGTTATTCGGGATAATGCATTCCCTTTTGTCAAGAAAAGAAGAAGGAATGAATGTTGAAAATATAAATGTTGTGCAAAATTGTTTTTATTCAAATTACCTAAAATTAGGCATCAACATTATAGCACGAGTTACAATTGAATTCAAACTTTTGAAATTATGCAATAAATGTGGCATAACTTATTGTGAAACATGCAAATTTTGTTTTCTTAAATACTGTATATAGTGCATGTAACGATATTTTCAAGGTCGTATTTTATGCAGTTTTATATTTTGTGTTCATGTGTCATAAAATATAATCTATCATTAAATGGAATGAACTCACGTTTTTGTACTGATTGCTAGACCATCATTTATAAAATGCATTGTCGACCGATTCTCCCTTTTTTCCTGAACATTACAATAAGCACACACCGGGTGTGACCGGTTGGCAGGGAATGTTTATTATTCCATGTCACCTGATCCCACTCCTGATGTTTTGGAGGTCAGTGTTTGCTTTGATACTATTTGTGACTTTTAATGGACTTTTAAGCTCGAATACTGTTTGTTATCCCCACATGTTTCATTCAATTGACTAATTGCACAACCGCTTTAAGCATAGACAGCATGAACATCAATTTAATTAAAATCAGACTTCTTAGATCCGCGAAGAGTAATATGTGGCACGGAACTAAGAAGTCTGATTTAAATTATGTAAAAGAATTCAAAGAATTTAAAATCGATATCTGAGATTGATTTGGGGTTGTAAAAATGAATCAAAATATGCAAAGGCATTATATAAACGGAATTTTGCCGTTTTTGGGTCCCTGTAGTAATCATGCAGGTTTAATACCAAACCTGTGACGTAAAAAGTGTTGATCATGTAGTAGCAGAGTGAAAGTGAAACGTAACGAGAATTCATGTAAAGAAACACAAGAAATCGGAGTTTAAAAGCATTTTTTAAAATGAATATCATGTGTGATTCGTATGGGAATAAAGCTTACGAATAAGATATGGTAATATAATTTTACAAAACATATGAACATCAACGTATGTTGATTATGAGATCATAAAAAAAAATATGAATAACATATGCTAAACGTATAATCAACATATGTTTAAAAAGATATGTTAAATATATGTGACTCGGTTTTTTTATGGCGAATGTTAAACGTGTGTTCAACAAAAGCTGCAATTTTACCTGTAAGTCGTTGCATTGTGACGTCACAATCGCAAAACACGATGCAGGGCGAACACGACGGTCACGTGACTGCCTCCGCCAATCAGATTCCTTTAACTTGTAATTATTTATATGGGATATAATGATTACATCTGAGTGGAGTCCACTTGATATAAAAACTGTTTCTATATTTCCTTTTGTATGAAGTTCATTCGATAGTAACGATTGAGTGAAGTTCATTTATTGTTTTACTGA